ACCATAGGCTCAGCGACCGCTCAAGGGAAGCGCCCTTCTTTTGCTGTGCCTCGCCGCCCGACCGCGGCCGCCCCCTCCCCGACCCTCGCCGCCCCCGCGCTGCACCCCCGTGTTGTGGCGTGGCTGCAGCCTTGTGCAAGGTCCTCGCCAGGGTCGCAACACACCGAACAGGTGGGCGCCGCCGGGGGCCTCGCGGCGGGTAGCGCTGGGCCCTGGCCGGCCCGTGCAACATGCAAATCACACAACCGCCTTATGAGGTCTCCCCCTTCCCCTCCCCTCCTCCTCCGCGCACGAGGGACGAGGGCGGCCCTGCGTCACGTGGCGCCCAGCCGTCTGATTCAGAACAGCGTTCAAGAGGGGCTCTCCTATACCTCCCGTGTAGCTCCGTCCTTGTTGCACTCATAGTGCAGGTAGCACCCCATCCCGCCCCGCCTTGGCGCGCCAACCAGCGTCCCGCATATCAGCCGTGATCGGGGACCAAAGGCAGCGCGCCCAATTTATCAACGCGCACGCCAAGGCAGAGTATGTCAACGCGCACGCCAAGGCAGATTATGTTAACACGCACGCAATCCGGTCGTCATGCATTGTTTTTTTCCAGCCGTAGCTGCCTCGCCGCGCTCGCCGCGTGCCCTACGTGAGCAGGATGAGCAGCTTTGTCTGCTTTTGATCGCGGCCCGGGGGGCCCCGGCGTGCCACGCTCGCGTGCTCGCTATCGCGCTCCACTCCCTCGTCGCGCGCGGACCATGTCGTCTGCCTGATTCGCTGCCGCGTCGCAAACGGACACCGCCGGACCGCCGCGGGGTGCGCAAGGTGCGTTGCATATACCTGCTCATTTTTGAAACAAAGAAAAAATCTAGGAAAACTCCAGAGCGGACGGTGATGCGTTTCGAGAGACTCAACTTAATCGGAAACAGCCAAGCAAACGATTGCTTTTAGACCTGGAGGTATGCGGCAATGTCGTTCCGGCTGGCCAGACCGCTGCTCGTCGCTGCCCTGGCCCTGGCCCTTTACGTCTGCGGCTCAACCCCGGCGGCGTTGTTTGGCGATGTCATCCCGATGGACATCAAGTCGTGCCCGTCAACGCCTGACATAATGCAGTTGAACAACTTCAGCACGTACCGGATCGGCAATTCGTTCCTCGCCTCGCTCATCATAGATGTACCCAGGGCGGTGGCTTACTTTAGCAAGGTGCGCCTGTCTACGACTTGCCATCAGCACATGGACTCTAGGCAAGCCTAGACGGAGGGCGCGGCCTCTTTTTGATATCGTGATGTCCTCAGATGGCGTTAAAGTTGACGCAGTGTCCGACCGGCGCGCCCTGCAAGCAATTCTACACACTGAGGTACAGCTCAGGCGTCTGCAACTTGTTAAAGGACCGGAACGCCTTCTGGGGCCCCGCCTTTACGGACGCCGAGCCGCCCATGCGCTGCCCGTTGGAGAAGGTATGAAACAGGTGTGTTTTGCATACCCATTCATGTGTATTGATTGTCAGCCATGTGTTACGTGGTGTGGCTGCCGAGAAAATTCTAGTTTTGAGTTGCATGGTAGTGTAGCAGAAGGAGGGGAGCCTTTGGAGGGTGGAAGCTGTGGCCAGAGTGACTGCTGCCTGCCTTGGTTACACCTCGGCCTCTGGTGGGTTGCATCTTTACTGTTCGGGACTCTTTAGTGGGTGGTACTATTCTACTATTTCTACTATTGATGATTCGTCGTACACGGGGGGCCGTGTCTGCTAGGACCCGGACCCCGGACGCCACCACGCCCGCGTGGTCGTGGTGGGGCCCGGCGTGTCGCGTTAGAGAGCGGCAAAATCTGGACAATACATTGGGAACAGGTCGCACGACGCGTGTCCGCATAGTAACGGACCTCGTTGGTGTGGGGACCCACCACACGAAGGGGGCTTTACTATAAATGCAAATCATACACCAATTTTTCTGCTTTTACTGGATTATTTTTTCCCCGATTTTCTCTGATTTTTAGTTTTAACCTGTACTGATTTGTTTCTGACTTTTTAATCGAATTTTACTCGACTCATTTCTGATTTTTTCGTGACTTCGATTGGGGGGTTTGTGCTGGAGCTCAAGACTTGTGTTTGCATTCACTTCTCAGAGGGTTTACATTCTGCGGAACGCCACCTTGTCCGTCGAAAAATTCGCTATCTTGTTCAGAGCGATCAGCCCGACGGCTCTTCGCGAGGCCCTGTGGAGCTCAAAGCTGGAAGTGTGGGACGAGAAGGACAAGCTGCTGGTGTGCGCCATTATCAAGGTCAAGTACTTGGAAAGAAAGCAGTAGTGGAAGTAACTAATGTGTTCGGTGCACAGCACCCAATCAACGTGTTAGCAAACGCGTCTGTCTCAGAGGCGAGGCGGCAAAGGATTTTGACGCCCGAGATTCTCGGCGGGGACTTTTGTACTTTTGTACCTCGTCGCCTGATGTCTGCCCGACGCTCGTGCGTTATCTCCGGGCTGCGTCTGTTTTTAAAAGTACCGTCTTCAAAGAAAAAAAT